CCTCCAAATCAGCATTGGGATCTATGGGCAGGGAAAAGACCCCAGAACTAGGTTACATTTCAAAAGAATCACTACCACCCATTCAGTTACATCCTACCAGGTCTACCACCCCTTTTAAGAAGAAATAAAAAGTAGTACACCTCCCATCTCCATCACAACCAAAAATCTGTTCTAAGCCTTGGCAGAGACTATCGCCCAATCTCTAAAAGCTTCCTCTTGTTATGTATGCGGGGGGACTAATATGGGGGATCAATGGCCATGGGAGGCTAGAGAGCTGGACCCCCATGAGCCCAATGATGAAACAGGATACCCTGGCCCTGCTAACAGAATCTGGTTACTTAAAATCTCAATTATAGGAAGAAACTGTCTTGCCTGGTGGGAAGGAAAATTTAATGCTCCAGTTGGAGGCCTAACATGCTTGGGCCAGAGGTTCTATAATGCCACAACCAAGAAAACCCAATGGTGGTGGTTTCCAAACCACTGTGAGCTAAGCCCTCACCCCTTGTCTAACTTCCTCCGCCTCTGACAGGCCTGGGACGCTGTCCATGTAGACATCGAAAGGCAGGCCCCAAATGGGTTGTACTGCATATGTGGAAAAAGAGCCTATGCCACACTTCCCCCAAACTGGTCGGGATCCTGTGTGTTAGGGTCCATTCGACCCTCCTTCTTGTTCCCACTCACCAGAGGGGAACACTTAGGAGTCCCAGTATATGAAAACTGGGATGCTTAAAGAGAATGGTGTGCATTACAAATTGGCAACTGGAAAGATGATGAATGGCTCCTTGAACGTATTATCCAATACTACAACCCGGCCACCTGGGCAGAGGATGGATCTTGGGGCTATCGATCCCCCATTTACATGCTAAACCACACAATTCAACTACAGGCAGTTGTGAAATTATAACTAATGAAACTGCAAAAGCCCTTAACATACTAGCCAAGCAGCAAACTAAAATGTGCAATGCTATTTAACAAAACTGGCAAGCCTTAGACTACCTGCCTGCTTCTAAAGGAGGAGTTTGTGGAAAATTTAACCAAAGCAACTGCTGCTTACAAATAGATGAGGAAGGAAAGGTCACAGAAAAAAATCACCAATTGCATGAGAAAAATTGCTCATGTCCCAGTCCAGACCTAAAAAGGTTGGAACCCCGGAGATTGTTTGGGGTATGGTTCTCAACTCTTGAGGGATTCAAAACCCTCATAGGTGTTGTACCTATGGTCCTAAGAATTTGTCTAATCCTGCCCTGTTTTGCTCCCCTGATTATAAGGTGTGCGTCGAGCCTCATTGAGGCCATGGTTGAAAGAAAGATGTTATGAAAGTATGAGCTAATATGATGACGTTATGGAAGTACCAGCCCCTAAACCAAGATGATGCTCTTTGACCCTAAAAGGGTCTGAGCATCAAAGGGGGGAAAATGAGGCAGGAGTCCTTCTAAACTGCAGGAAGGGAAATACATTACTTCCTGCCTCTTTGAGCTACCTCTTTCGCAGGCTTTTACTTTGGCGGGCTACATGTTTAAACTTTTGACGGGAACCAACCAGAAATATAACTCTGTGGACCAATCAACAAATAGGACATGCAAATGAGAAGACTGTGAAAAACCAATCAATATGTGACAAGTAGGGCTAACTGTAGCTCCGAGCTATGAAGTGCCCAATCAAATGTATAACACCAAAAACGTTGCCATGTAAGGGGGACAAAGGAGGTTACAATGTAAAGAGAAAGTTAAAAAGGTATATAAGGTAGTGCCCCCGCGGCGACTCAACCTTTGACTATAAATCTGCCGAGCCTGTGCTGGCACGAATAAATGCTACTTCTGGCAAAGGATCCTCTGTGTCCCATCTATCTCTCTGTGAAAGATTTCCATGACAGTTTCACTAATTTTTTTTTTTTTTACTTTAAATGTTTTTGATTCATGAATATCTTAATCAAATGCGGATATTTAATTATGTGCCTTTTTTTTCCAAAAAAAAAAAAATCCTCCAAATAGCATATATTGTCATTTTGTTCCAGTATTACAACCAAATCTCAAGAGAAAAGCAGAGAAACAAAAATTTTTTTTAAGTGCCTGGCAATAAAAATGTTAGGAAACAGACTTGTCTATCCCAGTCTAGGTTCTAGATGGAGGGGAAATACCATACTTGAGAATTCACAACACAGGGTGGGGCTTATGCAAATCTTGGATTTAAGTTTATACTAATTATATGACCTATATAATCCCAGAGACTTGGAAGAAGGAAACACAAAATCTCTCCAGAAGCACATGCTCTCAATACATACCTTACAGGAGTCTCACAGGTTAAGAAAGTCCAACAAACATGAACTTACAATACAAACTTACAGCACATAAGAAGATGAACCACTAGGAGAGGGTCAGCAGACAAAAACACACACACACAAAACTCAAAAAAGCTCAAAACAGTGGAGGAACAACACAGCATAATTAGATTAAGATTAAAGATACAAAAGAGGAAATCTAAGACATAAACAAGGAATAATACATTATAATCTCAGGCAAACTTGAAAAGAAAACAAATAGAACTTCTAAAACTAGAATTATCAAAATTAAATAATAATGGGTAGGTTAAAAAACAGATATAAAGGAGCTTCCATAAAGAGAATTAGAAACCAGAATAAAGATCTTAAGAAACAACACAGATGCTGATGGTACACAGAGAGACAGAAAACAAGGAGTGAACATGACATGCAGTAATAGTGTAGAATTAGAAAACAGAAAGTCTATAAAAATTCAGAATTGATTATAATTAAAAGTCAAATCTAAGGTCAGCCATGGTGGCTCAAGCCTGTAATCCCAGTACTTTGGGAGGCCAAGGTGAGAGAACTGCCTGAGTATACGGGATTGGGACCAGTGTGGGCAACATGGCGAGACCTTGTCTCTACAATAAATCAAAAAATTAGCTGGGTGTGGTTACATACGGCTGTAGTTCCAGCTACTTGGTAGGCTGAGGTGAGAGGATCGCCTGAGCCCAGCAGGTTGAGGCTGCAGTGACCATGAGCATGCCACTGCACTCCAGCCTGGGTGACAGAGTGAGACTCCAACTCAAAAATAAACAAACAAACAAACAAACAAATAAATAAAATAAAAGCTAAAACAGGAGAATACAAATTTTTAACGGGAACTTTCTAATATACCATTATATAGAAAAGTACAAAAGGCTGGCAAACATTTAGAAAATATTTACTTCAGGTACATTAAGAATATAAACACCAAGCCATGTTGCATATTTATACTTTTGCTTATTCTTTAACTGGTTGCCAAAAAATTGAGTTATTTGTTTGCTAGAAATTTTCCTATGACAATCTACTGTAATAACTATAATGACTTATTTGTATAAAACATTAAATCTCAGGATCATGATATATGTATATATTCATTTGTTGAAGAAAAACAGTATTTGCTTACTGAATGTTTCAAATAGTTAGCTATTTTACAATGTTTAATCTAGTATGACGTCAGTAATCTTGTTAAAATTAACTCAATCAGTATAAAATCCACACATATCCCTTTCAAGTTAAATTCTATCTGTTTTCCTCTTGAATCAATGATGACAAAAATAAAAATAAAGGTGATTATAGAATATTTAAAAATAAAAATACAGAATCATAAAATTTCTCTATAATCTAATGCAAAGATCTAGTCCTAGAAGGAGCCACTACTACTGGCAGATAATTTTTCAGTACTGATACAAGATACATATCCACAGAAGGACAACAAATCCTAAGCAGGATAAATAAAAATCAATTCACGTACATACATGATGTTATTAAACTACAGAACTGAAGAATTAATTGGAAGAGAGAAGTGGAAACCAGAAGAAGAATATCTTTCAATCAAGAACTCCAGAAGTAGTTACATTAGCATTCAAGAATGGGAATAAAAATAAAAATATGTTCAGACTAGTGGTGCACCAAGGACAGGGTGGTTTTAACAGTTTACTCTAAGTGGCAGTACACTGACTACAGTGCATTTTAAAACAATAGTACAAGAAAAACAAATCATCTGCTTTTTTAGGAATTGCAATGTCAGTGATAAAATACTCTTGCTGCCAGCATGGTCCACTCCCACCACCCCATCCTTGGTACACCACTGGTTCGGACAAAGAAATTTCCAGCAAATCTTTAGTAAAGAAAGTAAGGCTACTTTTTAGAAAGAAGAAAGTGATACAAAGAAAAAGTCTGAGATGCAAGAAAAGGTGAGCAAAGAAATGTATGAGCACAGATAAATTAGAATAAACATTGACTGCATAAAACAATAATAATGTCAGTTGAAGGGGGTTGTGAGGGGAATAAAAAAAGAGAAAAAAATGCTGAACATCAATAACTAAAGAAAGGGAGGACCCTGACTGGAGTTCAAGTGTTCTAGAGACCGTGATAAACTTCAGATCTTTAGCTAAGTGTATATGTCAAATATTTAACAGTGACCCTAAAAGAACAGACCAACATTTAAGTCAACAGAAAAGAAGTAAAAAGAAATTAACTACCTGAATTACAAATTCATGCTACCTACTTCAACCTGGCCTTTACTGTGGCTAGACAATGCTGTCCTTCATCTGTTGACCCTATTGCATGTCTTGCAGTAGCCATTCCCAACTTTTCCATCTAGTGCTCCTCCCATAAGATCCCCATTCTATAAGGCAGTACTCCCTGCCACTTTACTAAGAAATTGAAGCTGCCTGGAACCTACCCTGGCTTAACAGTAACAGCCTTGCTCCAACAAGTGCACCCATGGCTCTATGCTGACAGCCTCTGTTTCATTCTAAAATACCTTCCTTCAACTCTGCTACCCCTTTTTAAGTTAAGGACTTCTTTCTTAGTTTCCAGTTCCAAATTATGCATGATCCATAATCACAAAGGGGTGAAAACTCAGTTTCTGTTTACTTCCCATGTTCTTTCTTCCAACATATCCTTGGAAATGTGCTGAGTTTAGGCACAATTATAGGAGGTTCCATAAAACAAAGACTGGACATGACTAATTTTCTTATGCAGCTTTATGAGCAAGTGGAGAGAAAATAAATATTTCAAAATATGTAAAATATATTTTTAATGTGCCTATTGTTGCTGTCTTGAATTTGTAAAGGTTAGAAAACTGTGACAGCTTAATCTTGTTCAAGTCTGAGAGCCTCTTACCCTTTTTCAGCTTCCGGACAGCCAACATACAATGACTAGGAGAGAGATCCCATATTCTTAAGGTTTTATCATCACTTACAGTGGCACAGATGGGCAGATAAGGATGTGTAGCCAAACCCCACACGTCTCCTTCCATGTGTCCCTACAGAGAAAATATAGTTAAGATCAATTCAACCTAAAAATACATACACATATGTAAATATAGTATACTTTATTTAGAGTAAAGCTAAAAACAACACTCAGTAATATATGATAAGGGATAGGATAATAAATAATGAATGAGTCTGATAAAACTCTATCTATGGGATGCACCATAAAATACCTTTGTAACAACTTTAATCTCCACAACTACAATATAATCAAGTTCCTTTTAAAGTTATCTTATAATCCTAGAACATTCTCTAGGTGGAGACAACAGAAACTGACTGCCTGGAATAAGCCCCACAGGAGGGACTTCCTGCATGACACAGTGAGGAGCTCCACAGACCTGTGTTCCAGTAAGACTACTAAATATTTTATTTTATTTATTTATTTTTTTTAGTTGGAGTCTCACTCTGTCGCCCAGACGGGAGTGCAGTGGCCGCTCCCGGCCACCGCAGCCTCACCTGCTGGGCTCCGGAGATCCTTCCGCCTCAGCCTTCTGAGTAGCCGGAATTACAGGCGTGCGCTACCACAACCGGTTGATTTTTTGATTTATTGTAGAGATGAGGTCTCACTGCCCAGGCGGGTCTCGAACCCGCAGGCTCAGGCAATCCACTCACCTCAGCCTCCCAAAGGCGCGGGATTACACGCTGAGCCACCGAGCCCGGCTGACTACTAAATAAATATTTTAAACAGTGAAAAAAAACCAATTGAAGTCTCTGGAAATAGTTCCGAGGAGACAACAAATGAAGGAACATTTACTCAAGAAAATCTACTAAAATTTGGTAAGAAAGATCCATTCCCTTCATTCTTCATCTAGATGGAAACTATAAGCTAGACTGATACACGAAGAACACCAGCCACATTCCCTCTTTCTCTCTCTCCCAGCTCCCAGCAAGGGCTATCTTCTGAGGAGGGACAGGATATCAGCATTTCTCAGCCTCTCCCAGCTTCATGCTGCTGAGGCTAAATTCTTGGTGAGCTCAGTCAGCAGGTGGGGGGGAGGGGTCTCTTCTTCTGCCCAGCCCTTCTTCTAGATGGAAGCTCTACCTCGAGTATAGTGCCACTGAGAATAATGGGGCCCTGGTGGCAGTCCAGGAACACTTGAGGTTACTGCCCCTCTTCTTTTACCAAGCTCTCAACTCCCAAAGCACAGGATACCTAGAGAGAGAAGCATTCCATTGGTCTTACTCTCAGTTCCAGAGCCCTGGCACAGAGATTTTGCCCAGAGGGGCAAGCCAGAAAAATAGACAGCTCTTAATTTCTTAATCAGTTTCAAAGGAACTGATCTCATTTACAACAGAGTATGAAAATGCTCATGCCTAAGGATGCACTCAAAACCAGGGGAGGTTGCATGAAAGGTAATTGGGAAGAAACTGGTAGTCACTGGACATATATGTCATTGGACATAGCTTGTCCAAGAGAACCAAAGAAGCCTCAAAGATAGCTGGGAGGAGCTTGCTTGGAGTCAGAACAAACTCAAACACTAACCTAGGGAACTGTCCCTTCTAAGGCCTGAATGTGATTGGTTTAGTGTGTGGAGCAATTTATACCCCAGGAAAATGTTGAAAATGATAGAGCAATCAGCCAGCAATAAAGAAGTTTAACAGCTGGGTATGGTCAGGGAAAGAGAAAAAGAAGAGGGAACACTTCCCAAATGATTTTATAAAGCCCCTATTACTCTGATACCAAAACCAGATAAAGATATCACACATGAAAAGAAAATTAAAGACTAATATTCCTGAGCAATATGAATGCTAAAATCCTAACAAAACACTAGCAAACTGAATCAAATACGTATAAAAATAATTATGGGCAACCCCTTCAGGTTCCCTCCCACTGTGGGAGCTTTTCTGTCCTCTCAATAAATCCTGCTTTCAAAAAAAAATTATACACCACAACCAAGTGAGATTTGTCCCAGGAATGTAAGGTTGGCAGACATCATAAAATTATCTAAAGTAACACACCATATCAGTGGGATGAAAAACAAAAACCACGTGATCAACTTAATAGACACAGAAAAGGCATTTGACAAATCCCACCCCACCTATTATGGAAACATTCAATACACTTGGAATGAAAGGCTAATTCCTCAACTTAGTAAAGGGCATCTATGAAAAACCCAGAGTTAGCATTAGACTTAATGATGGAAGACTAAATGCTTTCCCTCTAAGATTAGGAACAAGACAAAGATGTTTGCCCTCTCCAATTATATTCAGCATTGTACTGGAGGACAGTGGACAAGAAAAAGAAATAACAGGCATCCAGACTGGCCAGGAAGAAGTAAAACTATATTTACAGATGACATGATCTTGTATGTAGAAAATCCTAAAGAATCCTGTATAAACTATTAGAACTAATAAATTATGTCAGCAAGTTTATAGAATAAAAGATTATTGTAAAAAATCAATTGTAGTTTTATGCACCAGGAATGAACAATATGGAAGCAAAATTAAGGAAAAAATATACTTACAATAGCATCAAAAATAATAAGATATTTAAAAATAAATTTAACAAAATAAATGCAAGACCTATATAGTGAAAACTACAAAACACTGTTGAAAAAGTTAAAGAGGATCTAAATAAATGGGGAGCTATCCCATGTTCATGAGTTGCAAGACTTAATGTTGTTAGGATGGCACTACTCCCCAAACTGATCCACAGAAAAGTGCTGCCTCAAACATTGTCGTACATGTTTCTTTTGGTAAATATATGAAAACACTTCTGTCAGGTATATACATTCCCAAAATTTTAATTACTACAGATTTATAATATCTTTGTTTCTAGCACAGAGTTTCTCAAAGATTTCTTGACTACTCCTGAATATGTTCTCTCCTAGAGAGTTTTTTTTAAAAAAATCCTTCAAGAATTTGTGGAAAATCTCATTAAGATTTAGACTGTTGCCAGATGTGGTGGCTCATACCTGTAATCCCACCACTTTGGGAGGCAGAGGCTGGAGGACTGCCTGAATCCAGTCCTCCTGAGGCTAACTTGGACAGCTTTGCAAGACCTTGTCTCCACAATAAATCAAAAAATTGGCTGGGTATAGTGGGGTGCACCTGTAGTAGTTCCAGCCACTTGGAAGGTTGAAGCAAAGGATCACCTAAGCCCAATAGGTTGAGTCTATGGTATCGCTGATCATGCCACTGAACTCCAGCCTGCGCCACAGAATGAGACTGACTCAGGAAGGAAAAAAAAAAAGATTGACTGTGAGCATATTAAATTATAACTTACTTACTTCTTTTATGTCTCCAGTAAACGCTTATAGTTTTCTTAACACAGGTTTTGCATATTTTTAGCTATATTTATTCCTGTCATTGTATAGTTTTGGTTTTTTGGTTTTTTTTTAAGAGATGAGGTCACACTCTGTCACCCAGGTTGGAATGTAATGGCATGATCACAGCTCACTGCAGCACCAAACTCAGCCTCAAGAGATATGGTGTGAGACCCCACATCCTGTGTAAGCAGCAATTTTAATGTCATATTTTCTAACAAGTTATTGCTAGCATATAGAAATAATACTGATTTTTATGTGCAGATTTTAAATCTAATCACTTTGCAGAATCCCCTAATTAGTTCTAATACTGTCTCAATTTCTCTTCTTGGTATTCAATGTATAGAGTTATAATATTCAAAAATACCAACACTGTTGTCCATTTACTCCCAACACATACACCTTTTGTTTTGTTTCACTGAATTGGCTAAGGTCTCAACACAGAGTTGGACAATAATGGTGAGAGCCGATATCCTTGTGTTGTTGTTGATGTCAAGGAGATAAGATATTTTAAATCATAAACTCTATAATAAATATACAAAATAACAGGATGTGTTAGAATATTTTATTTTAAAATTTATTTTAAAAATATTTTTATTTTAAAGATGTAGGGTACAATTCAGGGTTAGGTATACAAATGTTCATTATGCAGGTACCCTTGTTGATGAGGTGTGTTCCCCCACCCTGGCAGTTTCCTACTACTGCCAATCCTTCTTTTATAGTATTATGATAACTGTTCAAGGTCTAATTATGAGTGAGAACATGTGATACTCAGTTCTTTGTTTCTGTAATAAATCACTCCGTATTATTGCCTTTAAGTCTATCCAAGTTGCTACAAAGTTCATAATTTTGTCCTTATGGCTGCGTAATATTCCATCATGTATATGTACCATGTTCTTTTTTATCCAGTCCTCTTTTGATGGGCAGTATGGTTGGTTCCATGTTTTTGCTACTGTGAACAATGCTGCAATAAACATATATGTGCAGGTATCTTTTTCATAGAGTGATTTGAGTTCCTCCGAATATATTCCCAGTAGACGGACTGCGAGGTTCATATGGAAGGTCAATTTTTAGATCTCTTAGGAATCACCAAAGTGTTTTCCACAGAGGCTGTATTAGTTTTCACTCCCACCAACAGTGTAGAAGTGTTCCCTTTTCCCCACATCCTCTCCAGCATCTGTTATTTTTGTTATTAATAATGTTCATCCTGACTGGAGTTAGGTGGTATCTCAGTGTGGTTTTAATTTGCATTTGCATTTCTTTGACTAGTGAGGCTGAACATTTTTTCATGTATCTGTTGGCTGCTTGTACATCTTCTTTCGAGAAGTGTCTATTGATATCTTTTGCCCACTTTTTAATGGGGCTGTTTGCTTTCTTCGACACATTTGAGTTCCTTGTAGATGCTAGATGTTAGGCCTTTGTCAGACAGTTGGCAAATATTTTTTCCCAGTATGTGGGCTGTCTCCCTGCTCTCTTGATGGTTTCTCTGACTTTGTAGAAACTTGTCAGTTTGGTGAGTGCCCATATGTCTATCTTATCTCTTATGGCATAGGCACTTGGAATTTTGATCAGGAATTGGTTGCCAGTTCCAATTTTCATAAGGGCGTCTCCTGCATTTTCTAAGGTTCTTACAGTTTGAGGTTTTATGTTTAGGTCTTTGATTTATTTAGAGTTGATTTTTGTGTATGGTGATAGGTAGGGATCTTGTTTTAATCTTCTGCATGTGGTCAACCAGTTTTCCCAGCACCATTTGCTGAATAGGTTCTCCTCTCCCCAGTCATTGGCAGTGGAGGCTTTGTCGAAGATGAGTAGGTTGAGAAATTGAGGTTTTGCTTCTGGAATCTCTATCCTGTTCCGTTGGTCCGTATGCCTGTTCTTGAAGCAATACCAGGCTGTTTTGATTATTGTAGCTTTATAATAAAGTTTCAAGTCTGGGGGTGTGATACCTCTTGCTTTGTTTCTTTTGCTGAGGATTGTTTCAGCTATTCGTGGTTGTTTGTTTCCATATGAATTCCTGTATTGTTGTTTCCAGGTTTGAGAAGAATGCTACAGGTAATTTAATGGGTGTTGCATTAAATCTGTAAATTGCCTTTGGTAGGATGGACATTTTAACAATGTTGATTCTTCTAACCCAAGAGCATGGAATATTTTTCCATTTGTTTGTGTCATCTTTGATTTCTTTGAGCAGTGCTTTGTAGTTTTCATTGTAAAGGTCTTTCACATCTCTGGTTAGGAAGATGCCAAGGTATTTCTTTTCTTTCTTTTTTTTTTTTGTGGCTATTGTGAATGGGATTATGTTTTTTATTTGGTTTTGTTTATTACTGGTGTATAGAAATGCGACTGTCTTTTGCACATTTATTTTGTACTCTGAGACTTTGCCAAAGTCCCTTATCAGTGCAAGGAGGGTTAAAATTTTTAATTGGGAGGCCACAAGGTTGGGATAGCTCTGGTACTTTGGGTGCCTATGTAAGCAAACCAAAGCCCAATGTAAGTAGCAAAATGAAAGTAGAGACGTTACCAATTAGAAACTGCCAACTAACCTCTAACCAAGGTTTTTTCGTGCTAACCAATCACATATGTTTTCTTTGTCTTACTTCTATGTTGAGCCTATGTAATCTCCCTGCCCATTGCTGCTGAGGCAGGTCTCTGAATCATTCCTGGTTTTGAGTGCTGCCCAGTTCATGAATCGTTTAATGCTCAAATAAATTCTTAAATTTGTTTTGTCTAAAGTTTTTCTCTTAACAGATATTACTTGTGACTTCTAAATCGTTTTTTACAATTATAAAATTATGCTTTAAAATAACTTCATCTTTGGATTCATCTATAAAAGTGTACTTGTGTGAACATTTTCCAAGAGATCATACACCATGTTAAATACTATGGCTCCTTCCTCTTTTTACTTCACAGGTATTATATTATGTAACTGAAATTAAAGAATAAGACACTACTTAACTTACTATGGTAACAGCTTGTCATCTGCTTATACATTTTCCTCAACATGTCAAAATATTATATTAACATTAAAGCATATGCAGTGCTCTCATCTATGTGTACTCATTAGTGTCCTAACAGGAGTGAAGTGGGAGTTAGAGGAGACGTAAGTTTGTATTAAGAAAGAAAATAATTATTTTATTTTTCAGGATAAAAGGCAAGCCAAAGTTTAATGTTACTATATAGAGTTGCATAAGGATAATTTTTCATAAGGATAGATTCTACCTCACTATTTTATAATATTAATTTCTTTCCCTCCCTATTTCTCAGAAAAACATAACACATAGAAGAAACGTACATCTAAATATCAAATCCACCATTACTATGGAAATGACCAGTAGCTAATCTTGCTGTTTAATTTTCTATTTCTACCACACAATTTTTATATTTCTAGATTTTTCTTTTTTTAGTTGGAGTCTCATTGTCACCCCAGCTGGAGTGTAATGGCATGCTGGACTCAGGCGATCCTTCCACCTCAGTCTCCCAAAGAGCTGGAACCACAGGTACATACCACACACCTGGCTATGTTTATTTTTTATTTATTGTAGAGACAAGGTTTCACCAAGTTGCCCAGGCTGGTCTTGTACCTCTGCACTCAGGCAATCCTCTTGCCTCCACCTCCCAAAGTGCTGGGATTACAGATGTGATCTACTGTGCCTAGCTAGATTTTTGTTTTCTTATTAACATCTTTTTACTGATATTTAATTTTCAGTAATAAAATTTTAGCATGCAAATACATTCTTTTTTAAAAATTTTTCTAAGTTAGAAACTTAAGAAAGAATGACCCAACTGAAGAGTTTCAGAGAAAAATAACTGTGTTAGGCTCAACACATATACCTCAAGTAAATAAAATTAAAAATGAAACAAGTGGACTGGGTTAAATTAATTACAACTGGTTTTTCTTTTCATTGGTCTCTGTGACAAAAAGTGTTTAAAATATTGGCAATTATTCCATATGAGAATATGCATATTTATTTTCTGGTATACAGTCATTTAGTTATAATTAAATTAAAATTTTTTCTGTATATGTTAACATTAACAAATATGTCCCTAATTAACATTATTTTTCATCACTGTCAAATTTTGGCTGTTAGATACTAAAATAATCAATTATATATATATTATTTTAAAAAGCATATTAGCATTTTAAATTACCTGAACCAGAAGTGTTATTGGGCCACTTTTGTCCACTTCTAGTATTTCACCATTCTTTGTGCCAACTAAAATATGACCATGTCCTAATGATATGGCACGTATAGATGGATTATCTTCCAAGAGAAGACCTGAAATGTTAAATAGAGATATCTTCTAGGTATGAAGTTACTATAATACGAGGATGTATATGTTGTCAGTTATGCTATTTTGACTTTAAGAAGCAAATTATAAGGCTGTTTTCTCCTGTATTTTAAATATTCAAATAAACATACTATATTTCCCCAATCACTCAATTTACTCATCTCAACATAAGCATTGCCTATCTACTACAGTTCTATGGTTCTATTCTAGCTCGGATTCCCTACTACATCTGATAACTATTTCTTTACTTCTTATATTAGCCCCTCTTCATCCATATCCTACCCCTCTAGAGAACTTACAATATTCTGACCAGTAATTCTAATTCATTTCAACTCAAGATATACAGTTGTCCCTTGGTATCCACAAAGGATGGATTTCAGGACCACTCTCTCCACTAAAATCTGAGGCTGTTCAAGTCCCCTAAATAAGATGGTGTACAGTATTAGCATATAACCCATGTACACCATCCCTTATATGTTAACTCATCTCCAGATCACTTATAACATCTAGTACAATGTACATGCTATGTCAATAGTAATTACACTGTATTGTTCTTTTATTTGTATTATTTTTATTGATGCATTGTTGTACTTTTTACTGTTTTTATCCCCTCGAATATTTTCTATCTGTAGGTGGCTCTGAATCTGAAGATACAGAGCCAACTGTATTTATGTATGTCTATTTGTCTTGGGTAGGCTTCAGCAATGTATTAGTAAATATGATAGACCCAATTCTCATAGAGCATACAATGAGAAAAACAGACCCTGTGTGAGAGGCAGATTGAACAAGGAGTACAACAAGGGAATGTGGTCTTTGTAGGGGGAGGTGAGGGTGGGGAAAACATCCTACAAGAAACAGTATTTGAGATTTGAAAAATAGGTACGTAGTCAGGTAACTGAGGGGACAGGAGGAAAGAGGAAGGGCAAATCCTAGGAGAAAATAATAGCATGTAGAAAGGCCTGGATGTCAGAGTGTGGGGCAGTGCCTCAAAGGAAGCAACGTACTAAAAAAAAAGGCATTCTGGGCCCATGGCCTGTGGGAAGGTCCCTTGTTCCCTTCCTACTCTTAAAAAAAGAGGGAGTAGCAAATGCAGAGGTTCACACCTGTAATCACAACACTAAGGGAGGCCAAGACAGGAAGACTCCTTGAGGCCAGGAGTTTGAGACCAGCCCAGGCAAAATATCAAAACTCCATCTCTACAAAAAACAGAAAAATTAGCCAGGTGTGGTAGAGTGTATATGTAGTTCTAGCTACTCATGAGGCTGTGGCAGGAGGATCCCTTGTGCCCAGGAATTTGAGGTTGCAGTGAGCTATGACTGCATCACTGCACTCCAGCCCAGGAAGACCAAGATCCTGTCTCTCTTTTTTTTGAATTGTTGTCTCACTCTGTCGCCCAGACTGGAGTGCAGTGGCCGCTCCCAGCTACCGCAGCCTCGACCTGCTGGGCTCCAGCGATCCTTCCACCTCAGTCTTCCAAGTAGCTGGAACTACAGGCGCACGCTATCACGCCTGGCTAATTTTTTGATTTATTGTAGAGATGAGGTCTTGCCAAGTTGCCCAGGTGGGTCTCGAACCCCGGGGGCTCAGGCAATCCACTCACCTCAGCCTCCCAAAGTGCAGGATTACAGGCTGAGCCACCGAGCCCGGCGATCCTGTCTCTTAAAAAATAAAAATAAAGAGAGAGAAAGAAAGAGAGAGAGGAGGTAAAGGGAACAAGGGCATGCAAGATATGAGGCTAGAGAGTGAGGGTCTCAAAATGCCAAGGTAAACAAAAAATCAAGTTAGAAAACAAATTCCTGACTGGTGAGAAACATGATGCTCACATAGAAATTTTCTTTGAAAAATTTAAGATGTTAAAAATTAGCATGAATAATCTTATAGTTGGCTAATATTTTTCCATGTGTATCATAGAAAACAGATTTTGTAAGGACAGCAATGATTCTTTATCCAGTTAAGTGACTATTCCCATTTAACCCTGATGCCCAACAAGTGAAGAAGGAAACACGTTCGATCTCAGTGATCAAGCATTTGAATGAGCAAAGAGTCTTTTTTCCTACAAAATAAACTCCAATCTCAAGTCACCTTTGGATCCTGGGGCCAAGGCAGCTCTTTTGATAGCATAGGTCTTGAGACATCTTTCAAAGGAGTCATCCCAAAGAGCCACTACACCATCTTTTCCTCCAGTCACAAACCCCTACGAAAATGATTCAAATTAATAAAGATCTAAACATTAAAAAAAAATAATAACCTTCTTTATATTGAAAAACTCTAGAGGAAAGAATATAGCCAAAAGTTACAGCTTGTAAAGAACAGGAATTAGCATAAGAATCCATTATGTTTTTTAAAACATCCACATTAAATCTGCAATAATACAGTGACATTAAACATTTTACTTTTAGAATAGGACTTTAAAAACATCGTTTCTGAAATCTGTAACTATAAGTTAGGTTTATCACTTTCAGAAAGTTACATATATTCTCCTGGAGTCTTCAAAACCTCATCCTTTAAAAAGAAGAAATAATGGTACCTGATAGGATATGGTGATTATATAAACACTTAGCATAATTATTTTTTTTTGAGTTGAAGTCTCACTTCATTTCCCAGGTTGTAGTGTAGTGGCACACTCATGGTCACCCTAGCGTCGACCTGCTGTTCTCCGGTGATCCTTCTGCCTCAGCCTTCCAAGTAGCTGGAACTACAGACATGTGCTACCATGCCTGGCTAATTTTTGGTTTATTGTGGAGACGAGGTCTCGTCAAGACGAGGTCTCGCCTGGGCTGGTCTCAAACCTACAGGCTTAGGCAATCCACTCGCCTCAGCCTCCCAAAGTGCTAGGATTACAAGCTGAGCCACCAAGCTCAGACAGCGTAATTTTTGACACAAAGTAAATGCTTAATAAATACAAAGCTAAATTTTTCTTTTTTAACAGCAGACTTATTTCATTCTGTGTTCAGGAGTTTTAAAAGAGAAATGAAATATGGTCGAGATGATCCTAGCCCACAGACTATTACTGAGTGCCCAGTCAATCAGAAAGACAATGTTCCTTCACTTCTGAAAATGCTCTACACTCTATGATCAAATTATGTTCAACTTTAAGTCTCTTTATGCTACTTACTTTCTCCAATGCATGCATGCTGAATACTGGCCCATCATGTGCTTTAACTGTTTTTACAAGAAAGACATCTCTCCAGATACACACATCTCCTGTGGATGTTCCAGAAAAAGCCATCTCTTCAGTCCATCCATACACTGCACACATCATTGTGTCATTTTTCCCCAGTGTGCCTATGTAGCCTTTTCTTCCAATCAGTCCTCCCCCTGGTTCACAAGAAATATTAAGAAAATACCACTTTCAAAATGTACACAATTATACAGAAGTAAAATTTCTAGTGGTATTGTCTGAAGAGAAAAACACGCAACAGTAAGGAGATTTAAAAAGAGAAACATGGATGTCTCAAATCAGTGATTTGGGCAACACCTTGCATGACAGGTTTCAGGTCATAGCTTTTTGGATAAACAGAGACTTGAAACTAAGTCAGTTTTCATCAGTCATTAGCACTTTTAGTTACTGTTTTTCAAAATATTAATTATGATATATTTAAGAATACAAAAAGGTATTTTTAAAAAACCAGTACAATGAATGTCTGTGTATCCAATATCTACTACCGACCTATAAAAAGAAACAAAAATAACTGAAACATCAGGCCCCTATCATCTCCTTTCTTCACCCCTTACTGTTCTGAATGTAATATTGTTTATTCTTATGCATTTTATACACATCTTGTTACATATTTATGAATTTTTAAGCAATCATCATATTATTTTTCATGTTTTAAAATTCTCTACAAATACCATCCTGTATGTATTATTTTACAACTTGCTTTATTCACCAATGATTTGTTATACAGCTTTATACATGTTGACCTTTACCTCTAGAAAATTCATTTTCATAACTGCATAGCATTCCATTATATAAACATGCCATGTTTATCCATTTCCCTATTAATGGACATTTAAGTTCCTGCCAAGTTTTTGCTATGAAAAAAATGTTGCTTTAAACATTCTTGTAAGGACCTCTTCTATACAAGTGTAAGAGCTTCGTCAGGAACACCTAGTAGTAGTATTAGGGTTATGTGAAAGGAACAGTAGATAGATAAGGGTGGTATGAACTCTTCCACATTAATTTCCAAAGTTGGTACACCAGCTTACACTCCCACTAACAGGGAAGAGAGTTTCTGCTGTTTTCTACCTTTAGGAACACTTGGTGTTGTCAGATTGGGGAATAAGAAATATTAACTAAATTTTACTGTGGTTTTAATTTGCATTCCGTGAATATTAACGAGCTTGATCATATTTTCATATTTTTATTGGCCATTCATTACCTATTTATATATTTTGCCCATTTTTCCAATTGAACTCATTCAAGAAATACCCAGGTCAGGCACTGTTCAAGGAACTGGGAATACAGTTATGAATAAAAACAGGCAAAACAACAAAATTCCCTGCTTCAAGGAACTTCATGATGAGAAAGTAAAGATGATAAGTAAGTAAAATATACAGTAAGGCAGATGAAGATGGTCACTTGGTAGAAAACATAAGCACAGAAAAGGGACCAGGAAGTGGGAGGAGTCCCACGTTAGGCAGGGTGATTAAGGTACATCTCATCAAGAAGGCAGTACCTAAATGAAGACCTGAAAGAGGTAGCAGAACAAGCCATGCTACAAGAGTGTTCCAGGCAGAAAGAACAGCAAGTGCAAAGGCTCCAACACAAGAATGTGACTGAAATCTTCGAGGAACAAAGTCTCCAACACAAAAATGTGACTGAAATATTCAAGGAACAAACAGGGAGGTCAGCGTGGACTAGCAAAAAAGGAAGAGAGACAGTAATGGGAGATGGGGCCAAAGAGGGCAAAGGGCATTGCAGGGCACTGTGAGGATTTCACTTTTGCTCTACATGAGATGGAAAACATTTGAGTAGTGGAAGGACAAAATCTGGTATAAAGCTAAGTGTGGTGGCTCATGCCTGTAATACCAGCATTTTGGAAGGCTGAAGCAGGAGAATTGCTTGAGGCCATGAGTTTGAGACCAGCATGGACAACAAAGCAAGACCTCATCTAAAAAAAAAAAAAACCAAAAAAACCAAAAAAAACCCCAAATCAGCCAGGTATGGAGGTGCATGTGTAGTCACTGGGACTTGGGAGGCTACAGCAGGAGGATCACTTAAGCCCAGGAGTTGGAGGTTGTGGTGAGACATAATCGTGCTATTGCACTCTAGCTTGGGTAACAGAGTGAGACCCTGATTCAAAAACAGCAAAACAAAGCCCTAAATCTGGAACAAGATTTATTAAGAGTTTCTTTCTGACTTCTATTCTTTCTGAGAATAGATGGAAGGGTGGGGGGGTCAAGAATGAAAAGAGAAGGCTGCATCATCTGGGTAAATGATAAAGGAAGCATGGACCAAGTGACAGCATGTGGAGGTTGAAAAGTGGTAAGATTACCAATGTATTCAGTATACTGTCTTTCCTTAGCATGACAGCCAGAACCAACAGTGACCTTGCAAGAGCAGTTGGGTGGAGTGGTGATGGGGAAAAAACTAAATTAGACTTTTCTAAAGACAAAGAAAGAGAACATAAATTGAAAGTAGAAACAATTGTCTGGCGGTACTTCAATATATAAGAGAAACTGATCAGCAACTGGAGGATAGAGTTGAAAGAAGGTTTTCATTTTATTTATTTAAGATGGAGAAATAATACCATACTTGTATGCTGCAAGGATAATAAGTGGAGAGGAAAAATTGATGATGCAAGTAGAGATAGGGTACACAAGTCAAAATGATGTCATCTCACTCAGCTCATCTTGTCTAAAACTATACTTTAAGGCGTTAGACAGCACTTAATCAGATTAAGAAAGTGGTACTCCAACCCACGTGGTTAGTGAACTTTGAGGACCAAACCGTAACATGAGGAAGGTTGAAATGCCCACAGGAGCCCTAACATTCATTCTTTTATGATTCAGTTTCAGGTCTCCTATATGTCTAATTAAACTTAAAAAAAGAGGTACTCTATAAATCTTGTCACTGTGAGACTATTTACTTTCTTGAAATCTCTTATTTCAAACAAATTCGGTTTTTTTCTAAGACAGAAATACTAAGAAGAGTTGGCCCTTCACATCCACTTGTTTTGTACCTGTGGATTCAACCAAACATGGATTGAAAATACTATTTGGGATTTCTAGCAAGATAGCAACAGGACATGTAGGACTGTGAGAGTCTCTGCAAAAGTGAGTGTCCATAAAGACTCCCTGTGAGAGTGGGTGTGTGCCGGTGGGTGAGTGAAAGTCCATCTGAGGGGACACTTGGGTTCATGCACCCAGGGCTCTCCTGGGAGGTGACTGCAACCCCCCACCACCCTGAGATTAAAGCTGCCGGCATGCAAGATCATCTACTGCTCTTGGGACTTTCCTGAGAAAAGCCTGCTGAATATAGCTGATTCTCATCACCTGGCACCCAGCCCACACCATCACCTGTGACAGTAAAGCAGCTGGAAACGCCAATCAGAGTCATATTCTCTGTCATGGGCCCAGGCAGAGACCTGCATTGCCCTCTCCGGTTCCACCCACCCTCCTACTTGGGACCTAGAGGTAATCTCATCAAACTCAGAGAGACAGAAGCCCCTCCCCATGCTGGACCAGACAGACACATCAGATCTGAGTGGGAGACTTGACAGGCAGCAGGCTGAGTGAGTACAGATCTGATCTACCTTCCTCCCACAGTGGGCCTGGGGCATCTGACCAACATTGAGAGCAACTCTACCAGCCTGTGCTGAGAGCAGAGGGGAGGGGCTGGAAGCAGAGCTGAAAGGAAGTTGGACTTACAGAAATGACCTCAGAGCAAGTTTTGTTTTTTTGTTTGTCTGTTTGCTCGTGTTTTGTGTTTTAGGGTTTTTTTTTCTCTCCCTTTCTGTTTTTGATTACGTTTTCATACTTGCTTTGTTTCTATTATTTTGTTGCTTTTTAAAAGACTTTCTGTTTTGTGTACTGGTATTTTGAGGGTGAGTATATCAGTAGGAGGTTTTTGTCAGTTTCTCTATCTGTATGATTTGTGTATGTTTTTGTTTTTTAAAATCTTTTCTGTTTTTGTGTCTCTTTTCACTTTTTAGTTGGTATGCTTGTCTGTTTTCCCTCTTATTCTTTTCTCTCTCCACCTTCCTTCCCCCTCCTTCCTTTTTCCATTCTATTCCTTTTTCTTACTTCATTTTGCTTTCAGGGGACAACTTTATATCCCCACTGTATGGACAGTGGGAAGCAGGTTCCGGGGGCCCACAACCTGTCAGTGGATACTGGGATCTGCAGATAGTTTTTGAATCACAGCTCCCCTCTCAATTAAATCTCAAAACTGCAAAAAATACTGCCTTCCCCCCCAACAGTCCAGCTTTAGAACTGAACAAAGCCAGAGGATCCACATAAGGAAGAACAGGAGACTGAGCAACAGAAAGCTACCTCTGCCCCTATCTCTGAACCACAGAATTAAAGAAGAGGGGGGAAAAAAAAAGGAGGGAGGAAAATCTACACAAATGAAGAAAAACCAAAAGAAGAATATGGGTCTCATACAGACCCCTGGGAGGTTAGCCACTGAGATGTATACAATGAAGAGCCCCCAGAATGACTAGTCTCAAACTACAAACCCAGATATCAAGACATTAATAGAGAGCATAAATAGAATTGAGGAGAGACAAGAATGAGGAGAGGAAAGAATGAAGGAGTTGATAACTGAGATAACCACAATAAAAAACACAGTGAATGAAACAAATAACAAACTGATAAGCATGGAAAGCAGAATTAGCCAAGCAGAATAAAGAATCTCACAACTTGGGAACCAAAATATGGAACTAACCCAAACTGTCAAACACAGAAAAGAAGCTTTAAAAGACAGAGCAAAACCTTCAAGAGATGAGCAATTATTTCAAAAGGCCAAACCTAAGATTAATTGGACTTCCTGAGGTAGAAAGAGAGGCAGAGACCACCCTGGAACAAACATTCCATGAAATTATCCAAGAAAACTTACCTCATCTCATCAGTAATGTGACCAAACACAAGAGATTCAGAGAACCCCTGCAAGATGACAAATGAATAGACCAACTCCTAGACACATAGTAATTCACCTACACAAAGTAGGTATAAAAGAAAAAATCCTAAAGGCAGCAAGAGAAAAAGGTTGGACAACCTACAGAGGAAGACCAATTAGAATAGCAGCAGACTTATCCACAGAAACACTTCAGGAGAGGAGAGCTTGGAGCCCAATCTTTAAAGTTCTCAAAGAT